TGTATTTCTGATCTGATCTTTATGATTTCTTCTACTGAATTTGGGGTTTTTTGTTCTTCTTTCTCTAATTGCTTTAGATGCAAGGTTAGGTTGTTTATTTGAAATGTTTCCTGTTTCTTAAGGTAGGATTGTATTGCTATAAACTTCCCTCTTAGAACTGCTTTTGCTGCATCCCATAGGTTTTGGGTCTTCGTGTCTCCATTGTCATTTGTTTCTAGGTATTTTTTAATTTCCTGTTTGATTTCTTCAGTGGTCACTTCGTTATCAAGTAGTGTATTGTTTAGCCTCCATGTTTTTGTATTTTTTACAGATCTTTTCCTGTAATTGATATCTAGTCTCATAGTGTTTGGTCGGACAGATACTTGATATGATTTCAATTTTCTTAAATTTACCAAGGCTAGATTTGTGACCCAAGATATGATCTATCCTAGAGAGTGTTCCAGGAGCACATGAGAAAAATGTGTATTCTGTTGTTTTTGGATGGAGTGTCCTATAAATATCAATTAAGTCCATCTTGTTTAATGTATCATTTAAAGCTTGTGTGTCCTTATTTATTTTCATTTTGGATGATCTGTCCATTGGTGAAAGTGGGGTGTTAAAATCCCGTTCTATAAATATGTTGCTGTCGATTTCCCTTTCTATGGCTGTTAGTATATGCCTTATGTATTGAGGTGCTCCTATGTTGAGTGCATAAATATTTACAATTGTTATATCTTCTTCTTGGATCGATCCCTTGATCATTATGTAGTGTCCTTCTTTGTCTCTTCTAATAGTCTTTATTTTAAAGTCTATTTTATCTGATATGAGAATTGCTACTCCAGCTTTCTTTTGATTTCCATTTGCATGGAATATCTTTTTCCATCCCCTCACTTTCAGTCTGTATGTGTCCCTAGGTCTGAAGTGGGTCTCTTATAGACAGAATATATATGGTTCTTGTTTTTGTATCCATTCAGCCAGTCTGTGTTTTTTGGTGGGAGCATTTAGTCCATTTACATTTAAGGTAATTATCGATATGTATGTTCCTATTCCCATTTTCTAAATTGTTTTGGGTTCATTATTGTAAGTCTTTTCCTTCTCTTGTGTTTCTTGCCTAGAGAAGTTCCTTTAGCATTTCTTGTAAAGCTGGTTTGATGGTGCTGAACTCTTTCAACTTTAGCTTGTCTGTAAGGCTTTTAATTTCTCCATCAAATCTGAATGAGATCCTTGCTGGGTAGAGTAATCTTGGTTGCAGGTTTTTCTCTTTCCTCAGTTTAAATATGTCCTGCCAGTCCCTTCTGGCTTGCAGAGTTTCTGCTGAAAAATCAGCTGTTAACCTTATGGGGATTCCCTTGTGTGTTATTTGTTGTTTTTCCCTTGCTGCTTTTAATATGCTTTCTTTGTATTTAATTTTTGATAATTTGATTAATATGTGTCTTGGCGTGTTTCTCCTTGGATTTATCCTGTATGGGACTCTCTGTGCTCCCTGGACTTGATTAACTATTTCCTTTCCCATATTAGGGATGTTTTCAACTATAATCTCTTCAAATATTTTCTCAGGCCCTTTCTTTTTCTCTTCTTTTCTGGGACCCCTATAATTCGAATGTTGGTGTGTTTAATGTTGTCCCAGAGGTCTCTAAGGCTGTCCTCAGTTCTTTACATTCTTTTTTGTTTATTCTGCTCTGCAGTAGTTATTTCCACTATTTTATCTTCCAAGTCACTTATCCGCTCTTCTGCCTCAGTTATTCTGCTATCGATCCCTTCTAGAGTATTTTTAATTTCATTTATTGTGTTGTTCATCATTGCTTGTTTCATCTTTAGTTCTTCTAGGTCCTTGTTAAATGTTTCTTGCATTTTCTCTATTCTATTTTCAATATTTTGGATCATCTTTACTATCATTATTCTGAATTCTTTTTCAGGTAGACTACTTATTTTCTCTTCATTTGTTAGGTCTGGTGGATTTTTAACTTATTCCTTCATCAGCTGTGTGTTTTTCTGTCTTTTCATTTTGCTTAACTTACTGTGTTTGGGGATCTCCTTTTTTCAGGTTGCAGTTTCTTAGTTCCCTTTGTTTTTGTTGTCTGTCCTAAGTGGCTAAGGTTGGTTCATTGCGTTGTGTAGGTTTCCTGGTGGAGGGGACTAGTGCCTGTGTTCTCGTGGATGAGTCTGGATTTTGTCTTTCTGGTGGGCTGGTCCATGTCTGGTGGTGTGTTTTGGGGTGTCTGTGTACTTATTATGATTTTAGGCAGCCTCTCTGCTAATGGATGAGGCTGTATTCCTATCTTGCTAGTTGTTTGGCATAGGGTGTCCAGCACTGTAGCTTGCTGGCCGTTGAGTGAAGCTGGGTCTTGGCATTGAGATGGAGATCTCTGGGAGATTTTAGCCATTTGATATTATGTGGAGCTGGGAGGTTTCTTGTAGACCACTGTCCTGAAGTTTGCTCTCCCACCTGAGAGGCACAGCACTGACTCCTGGCTGGAGCACCAAGAGCCTTTCATCCACACGGTGTTCTTTAGGATTTCTTGGGTATATTGTTCTTTGCTTTCTTTCTTTCAGGTATTTTTTTTCCTTACTTAGTTGCAGTGAAATTTCCAGGAATGAAGCAATAGACAGGTGAATGGTCTGCAATTCAAAGCCAGGCGTTTGTCAAGCTCTTGCTAGTTCTCGTTTTCCTTGTTTCTCTGGAGGGAGAACAAGGAGGTGGTTCCAGGCTCTGTCCTTACTGCTTCCCCATGTGGACCGGTGCACACACATCCTCTCGCTTCCTCTGCTCTTGGACGGGCAGCTTTCTGAGAGGTGAGAAGTGCTTGCAGACACCAGAACTCCAGGCTAAGATCAGAGGAACAGGACAGATTGCTTACATTTCCCCTGAAATGGCTGCTAGTGTTGGAGGGTTTCCTGTAGAGTCCAGGAGTGGCTCTGTTTCACTGTGGGGACAAGGACACTGGCAGCAGAACTTCTGGGATGTACTCCTTGGCGTGAGCCCTCCCAGAGTCTGTCCCATTGAAGAGTTTTAAAGTGAGGAGTGACATGATTAAATATGCATTTTTAAAAGCGCTCTTCAGGACTGAGGCAGACAACATCTAAGCTGATCTTGAAGGAGGCTGGTATCCAGTGACACAGGAGAGAGATAAGGATTAGTGTAATGGCCCTGGAGTGATAAGAAGTAGCCTGATTTGAAAAACATTTAGGCAAAGGTATAATTTAAAACACTTTGTGGTTGATGACATTGACATAACTCTTTAGGCCCAGGATGGAGCTGCTCCTGCCCCAGGTGTCATGTCAGCAAAATGAAATTTTTTATAACTTTTGTGTCCTTGTAAATGCTTTGCTTGACTGGTCAACACATCAACTCTAGGCTCTATACTTATTTCCTTGTTCCTTCTCACCCCAAGCAAGTTTGACTATGTGGCCACAGTCAACCAGATATTTTTCTCTTCTTTGCTCTTTATTTTCTATTCTATAAAAGCTTCCTGCTTTCTGCCCCACTTTGCAGTTCTCTGAATGGAGACTGTCTACTTCAAGAAGTGTTAAATAAAATTTGCTTCTATCACCAAAATTGTCTGCTTTAATCATTTTTTAGCAATAATATGTGGTAGTGTGGGAGAAAGAGTAGGCTAAAAGGATGCTTTGAATCTGACTTGGGCAACTGAGAGTTTAGTCAAGCTTTCCCTGAGATGGTAATGGGGGTGAGGGGGTGGAAATCAGGCTGAGTGAGAGGAAGCTGAGTTTACTAAGCTGAATTTTGGATACTGTACTTGAGGTGCCTGTGTGGCACTCAAGTGAGAGACCAGGTTGCACATAGAGATGTGAATCTTTGACACAGAGGATAGTAATCAAACTCATCAAGAAGTCTTTCCTCAATTACTCCACTTCACCGGCCTGTCAGTGTGACAACAGCCTCGGGTGAGGGGCAGTGATTTCTCAGAGTGAGGCCAGCTGAAGAGAGGAGAGTTTATAACAGCATTTCCTGAAGTATAGTTACAGTGAAAAATTGTTCCCTGAGAAATACCAAACACACACACACACACACACACACACACACACACACACACACTGTTTTATGATCTAACAAGTTTGGGAAAAGCTACATATTTAGGGAATGTTAAGAGAATATTAAGGACTGACACAGCACAGTTTGCAGTAAAGAACATTTTCTTCTTTGTTTAACTCAGCTTTCCCCATGAGCCAACCCTGGCCAGAAGTTATTCCAGAATCTTAATGTCTCAGGGCAAAGGAAGATAGTAGAATTATTATTGGATGTTACTATTAATAAACTGAAGCTGAGAGGTTGAGAGTTTCTCAGTATCTCACAGCTAACAGAAATAAAGCTGAGACTGAAACCCAGATGTTGGGACTCTAAACCTGGAGCTCCCTCTACTAACCAAATCATTTCTACTAGTGCCTGCTGGATTGTGCCTTGGAGTTTCCTCCTGACAGTACCCTTACATAAGGACAGTCCAGCTTTTGAGACGTGGAAATCTTAAAATAGTGACCCAATCAAACTGGAGACTACAGGTCTTCTGGAAGGTAGTTGGAGGGAGGGTGGAGAGAAGGTAGAGTGGCTTAAGAGACATTCCTAAGTCTCAGTCCTAGAAAACTTCTTAAAATATTGATTCTTGGGTTCCACTCCAGTCTGTCTACCTGAATGGGACTGAAGAAGTATGGTGGGGTCAGGCCTACTTATTCTTGAACAGATCCACAGATAATTCTGAGATGTCACATTGATTGAGAAGCACTACCCTTTTCTAGACAAAAACCAATGTCAAAATCTCCCCAGAACCCACCAGTTCTCACAGATTCCTGCCTGAACCAACTTGGTCGTCGAGATTTTCCTGAGTTGCAGAGAAACTGGTTTAGACATTTGGGTGGGTTGTGGAGTAAGCTTCTAAAAAGCCACGGGGGAAGGATTGTATCTTTAAGGCTAAAGAGGGCGGGACCAACCCCACTTCCTCTGTCTCCTCATCTGGCTTCCTGTCATCACAGTGTGATCACATTTATTCCCCCTTCACTTCTCCTTTTACACAAATAGCCCTGACATCCGTGTTACCAGACTTGTCTCGGCGCCTCATTGATAATCACAGATTCTGCCTAAAGGACTGAGGAAAAGAGCCTGCAAAAGGTAAGATGGTGATATTTTAATCTTGTTTGAGAGCAGAGACCTGAACCATATTATGTGGGCTAGGGTCTCTTCTTAGGAGTCTCTATATACCTCTCTAGTATCTACAATTTCCTGAAACTTTTACAAATATTTACTGCAGGTAGTAAAATTATGAACAAGATTCTAGTGACCCTCAAAAGGCAATCAGGCAGCTGGAAGGAGTTTCAATTAACCGGATTCCCATTATCTGATATCTCTTTGGGTCAGGGCATTTATGTGCTTAAATTGCTTCAGAACTTGAATTTCTCTGTCTGGTCATTTCTGTTGACCAGAGCCATCTGTACAAGATGAAGCTGGGGAGATTTCCTACATGTGCTGACCTTCAGAAGATTTGTCTTGTGATTTTAATGTGAGCAGAGAACCAACAGTCATAGCTATTTTAAAAGGTAGCTGGGAGATGCAGATCTTCTTCATCTGAGAAATTTTCAAAAGTAAAGTTAGTGACTCCCACTGTGATTCCTCAGAGACACTAAACAGAAGGACTGATATAAATCACAATACCCAGCTCAGAGTCAAGGACACAGGACATGCTCAGAACCTGTATTTCGAGAAGTAAAAGCTAGACACCACTAAGAGATGCTTAGATTGGTTGTTTTTAAAGGGCAGGAAGACCACTGTGATCCTCAGATTTCCCCCAAATAAAATTATCCTTAGTATTCAAAACAAGAATATTGATAAATATAATATGACATGCACCAACTTTGCATGACTTGCAAAACAAACTTGATATTGCACTGATTTCTAATTCAGGCCCCATAACTAATAACTGAGGTCTTATGGACTCAGAAAGTGATAGCTAAGCTTTGGTCCTGGCTTTCTGTAACCACTATAGTCACTGGGGGTAAGGTTACCACAGAGAACTCTAGATGAAAGCTTTCTCTTTCCAATATTTGCAAGGATCTTACTGGGAATGGAGAGGAAAGTCCCCTAGAACCACACTCACCCACCTAACAATGAGGCATGGGAATGGGGAAAAAGGCTCTAGATTCCCTAAGCACCTCAGGGACTATTGCTCTTTGAATTTAAAAAATAATCAGATGTTAAGTACCTCCTAGGGCAAGGCACTGTACCTGCCAGGAAGGGGAAAAGTAGAAGGAAGATATTTGTCCAACAAAAAATCTTGCCCTTAAGGAACTCCCTTGAGAGATAAGAAATATCAGATATGTATGCAAGGGCTTTGGAAGAGAACTGAGCAAAAGCAGAATCTTAGCTGCTGGCTAAACAAAGAAGTTTTGCTTTCTCAATCTCTACCAGAATCTGCAATATTTTGAAACTGTGGTTGAATTAGAGCAGAGGCTGAACTGAAACATGATTTCCTGTGATGTTTCCTGTGTGGGCCAGTTAGAGTATTTAACCTTTAAATGAAAGGATTGGACACCTTTATACCAGCAAGGAATGATTCAAAGCCCAGCCTTTTACATCTACTACTATCTAAGTGACCTTGCATTTGGTAATTGACAAGAGACACACACTGGAAACCTCAAACTCTGTTGGTCTTTAGTTTCTTATGTCCTCAGGTTGACTTCTGACCATGCAGAGGGCTTCAGACTAGGACCTGAGGTCTGTTTAAACTTCCTCACTCCTACTTTGCAACATGCCAGCAGCTAGGCATATGCTAAACACTGGAGACCCAAGGATAACTGATGTGGTTATCAATTTCAAAGCATTTGTAGAGTAACATGAAGGACAGACACAGCAATACACAAATATGACACAATGTGATCTTTTCTATAATGGAGCAAGTGTGTGCACAAAATGTAGGAGTTCAGGAGTGTGCCAAAGACTCCCTGGGAGAGGTGACTGCTTTGGTTCATTTTCAAGGAAGGATGAGTTTGCTATGGAGACTGGGGGTAATGGCATTTCAGACAAGACACAGTATATGCAAACTCAAAGAAATGTGAACACTCAGGCATGCTAGAAATGAGAGTAAGAAAATGAGATTAGACTATAACAAACTATGGTTGCAGGACCACAGGAAGTAGGAAATTTCTCCTACTTGGTTCTAGAACCCCAACACCTGAAAGTGGAAGGCAAGGTCTCTAACCAGGGGGGTCCCAAGCCCAGCCCTGGACGGAGCTATGCCTGAAACCTCCACTTGACAGGCTTGATGGAATGTGGCTTGAAATCAGGGTGAGAGTCAGATTTCCTCTTCTTCAACCTAGGTTTTCCCCCTAGATTTAAGTGAAAGGTGGAGCTTTTTGCAAGGTTACAGACATTCTCTTTCTCTCAGCTTCTGTTTCCGGAAATGCTGTGTTGATTTAGTCATGGTGGTTTGGTTTATGTTCCTGAATTAGTCAGCCTACAGTACTTCCTGTACCAAGTGAGCATCCAATGTGTGCGGATCACCATGGGCCTAGAGACTGGACACCTGCCTTCAGGAACCTCCAGGACCCAGCTGCCACTGCAGGTGCAGAGCACTGAATGTCTAATGCAGAGACATTAGACAGCTCTGCAGAGTGGGTCTCCAGGGTGGCTGCTGGGACAGAGGAGGAGAGGATTGCAACTGGTGCTTGGGTGGTCAGTTTGGGAAGGCCGTCTGGAAGTAGGCCTTCTGAAAGAGAAAGATAACATTTTTCCAAAGCCAGTGGGTGAGCCCTCAGGCTGTCCATCTCTGTGTTGGGATATAGAGGCAATTCCTCTATTCATTTCCCATTTCACAGTAGAGTTCCTACCCAAGCAGTAGCAACAATACATCCTAGCTCTGGCCAAAAGTTGTTCAGCCACAAGGATACATTTCCACAACCATTTAAAATAAATGCACTATATTCCAAGTGTTAGAATGTTGATACTTAAAGGGAACTTAGAGATTATTTAAGCTTAAATAAATTGTCCAACTCATAGTGGGAGCCCTGTTTTGCTATTATAACGTTCCAATCTGTATATTTTTCAGGTAGGTGACTTGTCCAGAGTCATAAAATTACTTAACTAGTTATCTAGAATGTTTCCTGAGTCTCTGTGAAATGTTCTTTTCTCCACACTACACTATACAGCTTTTCTTATAGACTTCTTTTTAAATAGGCATCATTAAACTGTGTTATTTGTTCACATAAAGAAGTTTCCAGTGATTTTTAACATAGGTAGACAGGAAAATACAACTTAACTATAAATCCAGATGATCTGAAATCAATATGCTAACATATCAGGTATTTAATATTTATTTAATTTGTCAAACTTTTGTTTGACATTTTATATTTCAGGAGAACTAGTTTGAAGAATAAAGGTGAGGAATGATTTTGATAACTCACATCTTATAAAATTTGTTCAAGTAAATTTGAACTCATGGCTTAATATTTACTCTATATTAGGAACAAATAGAGGCCTTAAAGAATTATCCCATGGTTTATTCTTCTAAACAGAGTTATTGTAGAATCACAGTATTTATACCATGAGGGACTTAAATCGTAATGATTTCAAGATAGGTATCCTTCAGACCGTTTACTTATGTTCAACTTTTTTTTTTTTACTTTTTATTTTGACAAAAATTTGTACTTACAGAAAAGTTACAAAAACAATACCAAGAATTTCTGAACCCCCTTCATTCAGATTTCTGAAATATTAACATTTTATCACATTTTCTTTATCCTTCTCCAGCTTTCTCATTTGAGAGTAATTGCTGACATGATATCTTTTCCCCTTAAGTGTTTTAGTGTGTATTTTCTACAAACGAAAACATCCTCTTATGTATCCACTTTACAATGATCAAAATCAAGATTTTAACACTGATACAATACTATTACCACTCTATATATTTTATTCAGATTCCACCAATTGCCTACTAATATATTTTACAGCAAAGGGAAATCTCTGATCATACATTGTTTTTCACTGTCGTCTCTCTAGTCTCCTATCTGGAACGGTTCCTGAGTCTTTCTTTGTGTTTCATGATGCTGATATTCTTGAAGAGTACGGGCAAGTATTTTCTAGACTGTCTCTCCATTTTGGTATTTCTGATGTTTCCTTGTGACTAGATTCAGGCTATTCCAAATTTTGTTAGGAATATCACAGAAACGGCTTTCATTATCCCACAGAGAACCTTGTCCACCATGGGCATAGCTTGCCTGAACACACCATGGACAGGTCTCTAGGACAGGGACACTCCACAGCAAAATTCCACATATTTTATGCTAAGGAAAGAGAGCCACTAGTCCACTGACTCTGGAACAATGGTAACTGTTTTATGTAACTGTTCCTGATTTACAGAGAGCCCTTGTTATATAAGTCCCTGTCTCAGCTCAGCTGCTAGGAGCATCTATGATTTTTCTGCTGAGTGATGATCTTCCTAAGCTCCCAAATGGAGGAAAATGAGACCTCCAAGATTATCTGGATTTGTTTTTCCTCATTTTTTCTCTTCTCTTTGCTTCTTCTTTCTTTTTCTCTTTTATAAATCACCAATTCCTCTCCCTTGAGGACAGCCTTGAAAGGAAATTTTCACCGGAACACAGTTTCAGGGAAGAATAAGATGACAGACACATTCCTTTGACAAAGTGACGGAGAGGTGAGAGGAAACTAATACATGAAAGTTGATGGTTTGATTTGGTTTAATTTTAGTATCACCCCTTCCCCTGTAACTACTTATTACTCCATGAATAGACAGAAAAGCAAAACCCACATCCTACCTCAGCCACTGCTCACAGGGGTTCAAACTGAAAGATGGAAGGAGTCCTCCTGGAGGCTCATCACATTGCAGTGGGGGAGTTGAGTTGGGAAGTGGGAGGTAAGAACTCAGAACCTGGGACAATGAAAGGAAAATAGGCTTGGGAGACTGAAAGACCTTGGCCTGTGCCCTGTTGTTGTTGATTATTAGCTGGGTGATCTTGTGCCAGTTACATAGGCTGTCTTAGTCTTGGACTTCCTGTTTGAAAAGTGGGGCTATTGACACCTAAGTTACGAGGTTGATATGAGGATTATAAATAAAATTTATTTATGAAGAGCTTGGCATTTTGCAGAATTCAGTGAACTAT